CTCATGAACTTGTCTTTTATAATATATATATCTTTTTTCCTGTATCATAATGTTTTCACTAAAAGTCACATTCAGTTTCTTCTGATAAATACCTGGGACTAGTTTCCCTCGGTCAGCTACACGAAGGTAAAGTGTCTAAACTCCCATACATTTCAAATAAAATCAGATACCTAATTAGGAGGAAGGCACCCAACTGTCTTGCGACTTTAATACTTGCTTCTTTCCCTTTTCTTTTTCTCCCCAAGGTATTCTCTCCTCCCCGCCCCTCCGTCCCTTAAACAACAAAAACAAAACCAAAAACTTTTCTCCCTCATTATTCTGACTCTGTTCCCCTCCTCTTTTGAGATGGGCCAGCAAGCAGTTTGGCTCAAAATTACGTTTTTGGTTTGCTAGGAAAGGCCCGAATGTGAATCTTATTTTTGTCTTCACAAGTGGACAAGAGGCTTGTATAGTTAAGGAAAACCGAGTTAAGCAAAATAAAAAAGAACTCTGCCAAATTTCTATCAAAATGAGTAAGGCTTCCACCTCAGGCTCAGCAAAATAGCTAAATAAAGTTCAGGAAGAAGTGATGTTTTAACAAAACATAAATAGCTGAGGGTAAGTGTCCTCTTAATCTTCCAGCACTACAACAGCCAGTTATGAAATGCGATGTTTAAATGGCAGCACTACAGCTATGCAGACTTCTCTGGCAGCCAGTTGAAAAAAAAAAGGAGAAAGGTTGCAGAGGTTAAATCAGAAACGTATCTGGTAAAGATTACTAGACTAGTAAATTGTGCCTTAAAACTGACAAGTCATGCAGTGATAGGGACCATTTAACTGATGGAGTCATTTTAAGATAAGAGTGCAAGTATGCCACAAGGTTGAAGCCTTTGAGTCACATTTTGTTAATGCAAGACAGGCAGCAGGATATATGAGGGGCCTCTGAGGGAGTAAGCTTTCATAGTCTTTATTCTTTTTAAAGATACAGTACCATGAAGGATGAAAAAATGAGTGAAGGGGACAAACTTGCTACTTTCTTCATGGATCTTAAATGATCCTAGAATACTTCCCAGAATCTGAAAGTGACCTCAAAATAACATCCTTGCTTTGGCTCTAGTTTTACTTCTATCTTTCTAAAGTAATAACTGAATGGAAAAACATTTGGAGATTCAAAGTCAGGGACTCAGCCTTCCTTCTTGTCGTGTTAAGGGACAAGATTTGTTTAAGAAAACGTGTGCTTGTTAATAATTGTTTTTCAATTAAAAACGTAGGTTTTTTTTTTAATGACATCAACTGAGTAATTCTCAAAATATGATACAACAATTCAAGAAAATGCTGTTTAAATAGATTTGCCATATTTGATTTTTCTCAAATCTTTTAAGAAAATCGTTGCATAGGCTAATTCAGCTCTTACATACAAAAGTAGTGACCAGTGGCCATGGCATTTTTATTATATTTAGGTCATGGTACACATCTCTGCAGTCTACTGCCACAAATAACTCCTTGCCTCTTGATGAAATAAAATGAAGCACATCAGAATAGATCTTGTTTTACTAAACATTTGACTTTGATTAGTGGGGCTGAACTAAAATTGTCCCCCTTCTCCAGTCAGAGGAATGTACATGACAACATAAAGTAAGTAGCATTAGAACACTTAGCAGCAGCTGGTTTATATTTTAGCACCTGAAACTCCAAACAGCTGCACTGGGTTGATATATGAGGGTCCTGATGTCATTACAAAGCTTCAAGATGCACGGCTTATGAGATATGGGAAGAAAGGGCCTCTTTGGAAACAGACATCCAAGCTGAAAATACTCAATAAAAATCCACATTCTAAAGAAAAAGAGCATCTGTACATTTCATCAGGCTTCAACTGTCTTCCAGCAAACACGCCACAGAGTTTAACTACAGTTCTTGCTATAAACCACTAGGAGACCGATTCAGGCAACCATTACATTAGCTAAATATACATAGCAGTAATTTATACCATATACATAGCAGTAATTTATACCAGACATATGTATCATTTACTTATGTGAGAACTAAAAGCTGCCTAACTTGCAATGAATTGAGACAATCCATGCTTGAGTACCAAACTGCTATGCAACAAAACTTGGGCTGGTTTGAGTAGAGTCCTTCCCTATTAGCTGAAGATCTCAACTACTTGTCCTTGATGTTCTCAATATTCTACACTCAAAATAGTTATAAAAGAAATTGCCTACGGCTAATATGGTAACACTTAATTCTAGTTCAGAACAATAGAACTCTTCCCTATTCAGGTAAAATTTATCTGTGCACAAGGCAGACCTTATTCAAAAAATACCAAACATCACCACATTCCACATCAAAAGCAAAACGCACTCTTCAGTCTCACTCTCAGTAATAAGAGGATATTGCACAGTATCTAATCTAAGTATTTCACCTACAGTTTTCCCTGCAAGAAAACTATACAGAATTGTAATCATCTTCCTTGCCTAAACCTAGTAAACATTTTATTCAGGGACTGAACTGTGGGTTACATCTCTGCTAGTGAAGCAAGTAGGTTAGGCCAGCATCACACGGTTGTCCACGCTGCCCAACCATTAGCACGGGCCTGGAGCAGCTTGGCCCGGATGGCCCTACCCAGCCATGGTTTCGGAGGGCCACCAGACCATTCCCAAGAGGTGTTGGGTTGGGGTCACCCTGGTTGCAGGGGGTTCAGCTGTTTCTACTACCTGGACTCAAGCCGCGCTGTGCCAGGTGCCCTCACCCATTTCTCTGTTGGTACAGATGTTGCCTTACACCACACAAAACTCAGGCTGGTGGCTGAACGGACAGATCGGTTCCAGCTCTCCCTCAGTAAGTCACTTGACTGAAAGGGTAAAGGAAATACACTTATATAACCCAGGGTACTTCCCAAGGCCCTTCAGGGACTTTCCAGGAGGGCCTGTTCCAGGAGGAACTGTTCAGTATAAAACACACAGACTCCAAGAACTACCTTACCTCAAAGCCTGAACCTTTCAGAGGCCCGGCTTTCCAGCCGCAGAAGTCCATCCAAACTCCCGTCACAGAAACAGAAGGGTAAACGTGGGTTGACAGATACTACCTCTGCTTCCAGAGGATATGAAAATCTAACAGGGTGATACCAATTTACAAGTCGGTGATAACATGACATGCCCTAAAGAGATGTGGACTAAGGAAAACAAAAGTAAAAACAGCTGGAGGGGAGCGAGGGGCACTCATTGTAATGCCAATGAGCAGTGTCCAGTACAAAAGAGAAAAAAGTAAATAAATAAATAAATAAATAAATCCAAACCCTGTAGCATTTCTTTCAGTCTCTGCTAACAAGGGAGGCCATCTTCAACATTCAGACTGCTTCCAAATCCCATAAATACACCCTGCAAAAATTGAGGATTTCTACACAACTTGTAGCCTACGATTTAATGCAAACCCCAAGAATCCCTACAAGGGAAAAATACTCAGATTAAAAAAATCTCTTGGCCTCTTTTCCAAAACATGTAAAACTGCTCATGCACAAAGATCGCTTGAAAGCCCCAGAAAACTCAGGGACACATTCGAGCCCTAATTGCGCAGCAGCAGATTTCTGAATCACGAAGCTGCATGCTATTTAAGGCCTTGTACAAAGGTCTCGCCTCGACCTCCAGTTAGTTTAACGGTTCGCTCGATGATTTTGGGAAGGGCCAGGGCATAGAAGATGGCAATAAACAAGAGAGCCTCTTACTGCTTACTCTGGCAGAACCTGACTGCAAATCAGGTTCACCCAGGACGATTGCTGGTAAGGACCGGTACCCTATCCCCTAGGTGCTGCATGCTTAAGCAAGTTCTGAATCACGACAACAGATTTTCCATATCAGAATCAATACGCAGGTTGTGTACACAACACAAAAGAAATAGCAACCACAGCTCCCAGTGCGCATCTACTACTGTGAGCTGCAGACAAAATAAAGGACTGCTCTTCTATGTATAATTTTAGCAGTGATGTCATACAGAATCCCCAGACACTGACGTGAGTTAATTCATAAAATCACTGGGCCAAAATTAGGAGAGACCCTCCATGAGTTCACATTCACATTCCTCATAATAACACACACCACTGATTTAATCTTTCACTCTTTCTTTTAAAGGTAATAATTAAGAAAAGCATAAACCAACACTTCCATAGTACCTTCTACTTCTGTGACTCATGCCAAGCAAGTATCACTACCTGCCTTTTGCCAACAGGGAAATCAAGACACAGAAGTATGCAAAGTGATCTGCCCAATTCACGTAGCAAGGCAGAAATGAGATGCTGGATTCTTAATTCTCCCGCTGCATCACATATATACACACCACACACCGTTCTCAGCTAACACTGGGACATCAGCTGTTGACCTATTATTTCTAATACTGATACTAGGAGGTGGTAGTGCTGGTTCAATAAATAACAGTTACACCCCATCCCTCTAGGTATCATTCCATGTTACCCTTGGAGCTAAAAGGGCTCCAAGTTAGTTGCTTAAGCTTGAAAAGCTTTATCATCTTTTTAATGACTAGCCTGAACAAACGTGGGTTAGTCTCTCCTCTTCCACTAGGATTAAAAAAAAAAAAAACCCCACCCCAAAACACCTCCAAACACCCACACAACCAAACTGTCCCCTATTTGTACTGTCAAATTAATATGAGACATCTATACATTGTAACAATGACGGTCATTCCTTTTAAAAGGAAAGCAAATAACCTAAGTAAGTATGGTCAACTGCACATGGTTGCTCTATTACAGACTTCCCGTCCAGTTCAGTGTAAAAACAGTCCCGATATTTCATGCTGTAAACCCTTAACCTTGCAAAATGCTCAATAAAAATCAACTAGATTACTCCATGGGATGAGACAGTATGAAGCTTCAGGATTAGACCCTTTATTTTCCAAGCGCTCACTCTGGAAAGGGAAAGGCATAGTACTTAAACAACAAGAGTACAGGAAGAATAACCTAATCAATAGCTTAATAAAACCTGATGAATATTAATAGTACCAACAGTACTTACCAGTTCGTAATTGCTTGGAAGAAAGCAGGGTGTCACCACCTGGAATAAAAAATAAAGTAAAATGAAGCAAAAAGATACTTCTTTCTGAAACAGTCCACTCCCATCGAACGAGCTCCCTCAAATCCTATGAGATCCAGGCAGAGTCAAAGGGGTGCCAACAAGATCAGGTGCAGAATCTGAATGTCCAGTGCTGCTCTCAGCAGCATTACTTTTTCTCAGTTGCCTGAATAATTAAATACTATGAGTCCTGCTCACATGCTCTAATCATTGAAACAGGTTCAAGAGTAATGCCTTCCTTCACGTCACACTAGTGGGGAGCATAAGGGGCTTTCTCCTCCCAGGATCCTCGGCAGCATTCTTTTAAGATTATCTCAATTTTATTTGATAAATAAATCTTCCGCTCTTTAAGGAGTCTAGAACTTTGGCAATTCCCATCATCTCATCCATCGTCCTCAGATTACAGACGTCAATTTTATCATTATCAATTTGACTTTGGTATGCGGTGTGGGCCGAGCAGGGCGTGCAATGGTGGCAAGCAGAACCGATGTTCTGTGGACTCGCCTAATTTCAGAGACAAGGAACCAAAGACTCAGGAGCATTAAATTGAAAGCAACCATCTCTGCCAGAAGGCAAGTAAAATAAATCACATTCCTTCTCTCCCAAAGAAAGACTGCATTATTACATTTACATTCATACAGCATATAAAACAAGTTAGCTTCTGTGAATAAGTATGTCAACTGAAGTTAAAACACTAAAGGACTATATATTCCATATATAACTCTTCCCCCCCCGAAACGGTTTGCATATTCAAAAACCAAAATGTTAAGAAAGCCAGGAAAACCATGACCAATTCTGATTACACAATGATCTCGGCAATAACAAATGTTACTTCTTTCTACAGTCTTATACAGCTGGCACCCTCAGACCTCACATGTACAATCAAGTGACTGTGGTTCACCAAGTTACTCAACTCATCTGAGCCTCAGTAATAACCAGCATGCAGGCTCGCCTTAACAAGCACCTTGAGGTTAACCCCAATGAAAGCTGTTTCGTTTAACGTGTCCAGCTTCACAATTACAACTCTCCAGGAGACTCCTCTTTCAGCCAACAAAAAGAGGCCAGAAACTCTCTGACAACACCTGAGCTACAGAGGAAGTGTTTTCTCTATGAAATTGTTGGTAAGCTGCCCTATCAGCTCTTAAGGCACGGTATATGGAGTGGGTTACTGAGCAGAAGCAGCCTGATGTGTAAATTATAATCCTTAGGGTAAAGAAAAGGGAGGTCCAGTCTATGCAACACAGCAAGCTGCAAGAACAAAAAAAAATCTGGTGACATACACAGCATGGGTGGAAAGAGGTAGACCTGGCTACACCACAACAACCTGCTCAGATCTCAGCTCTTGTAAACAACTTTTATCCATTACCATGGGAGGGCTGGCATTTGCCTCAGTAGTTGGGTCCTTGTTTGTGAAAGTTGCATCTCTGATTCTCAGCTCTCTTCAAATCATAAGGCATGTTTAAGAAGAAAAAACCATACACACACACACAAAAGTAACATGGCTATGTTCCTCCCCCAGCATCCCCACGGTCTCCACATTAGCCCTAAAGAAAGTAGGACAGATATGAACCCTCAAGATTTGCTTGCTGCGCGTCCTTCCCCCCAACCGACACTGTGCTTGTGAGTCCAAGGTCTTAACGTGCTGCATTTCTGCAGCTCGTTTCACAACTGCTGCTGGTGACTCACTAATCCATCCAACTGAGCATCCATATTAAACACGTGGAAGATGTTAACAAAACCATCACGATTAAGATTCCTGTTGCTGAAAGCAAAAACAACGTCTGTCTCTCTGACCTCCTGCCTGACACAGCACGTAAAACGTAGTACCACACCTTCAGTTGTAACAGCCAACTCTCCTTTCCAGCCAAAGGGGCGAACCACCAGGCAGAGCAGTCAGCAGAATGAACTGATGCGGCGTCCCACGTCACCAACAACAGCTCGAGACACTGGGTGCGCAAGCGTCAGGGGCTCCCACACCTGCTCCTGGCAAAGAGAGACACCTCCTCATGGGTCCTGACCACCTGACTACCTAGCACGTACCGGATTATAAGCACTAAAAAATCAACTTTTAATTAATGTTCTCACTAGTAACAGCTACGTTTAAAATAGATAAAGATAGACATTTTAAGAAGTATTTTTTTCCTCTCTACCTATAGCAGGAAGAAAGGAGAGAATGGACACTGGAAGGAGCCATTAGTTTACAAGGTCGTTGGGCAGCACAGTGGAAAAGCAGAGATGATCTAATACTACATGCTGGCATACTTAATACCTGCAACTATCCTAGAATAAAATTGTCATCGCTAGAGAGCATAAGTATCGTCTCTGCTTTTTCTCTTCCCCCTGCTGTTACAGCTCTCCAGGAATCGAGCACCTCCTTTTCCCTTGACTAACCACAACAGTGCTCTGTTGTAACCTCCTTGCTAATCACAACTGACTCACTGTCTAAGGCAAAGAAAAAGCCTCTCTCTCTTGACACAAGAGCACCAGGGAGACCCACTGGCAAAAGAATTTCAGAGATCTATCGATCTTCTTTGTTAGAGCTGTGGCATCTTATTCAGGCAGTTCACCACAACTCAGAGCCGTAGAGAAGAAAAATAATAATAAAAAAGGCACACATTAGGACTAACACTTCCTTAATTCTTTCTTCTCTGACCTCCAGTATGCCTGTGATACCTATATTGTAACCTGGCTTCACAAATAGGCTCCGTTTTGATTGTGTGCATTTTGCACCAGCTCCCTCCTTTCACAAATGTCAACAGTTGCATTTAGATGACGTGCCACCAAAAAGAAACTGCTGTAGTAGGCCTACCAGGCAGTCACATAACACCATTTCTAGTGCATACAGCAACCCCTTCGCCCTGCTTACTGCCATTAAAACGCAGACTATTCAAATGCGCCATTCACAGCCGATGATTCCCACCTACTGCTACTGATTTCAAGCCACAAAATTTGATGCAAGACCTACTGGATCCCTCGAGGTGCACAGACTTTTTCCTCTGGCTCCAAGTACACGGACAATATACCTCTTCCCCAAGGAAGAAAAACAGCCCAAATCTCTGTGCACCTCAGCTCTCAAAAGCAGTTTCAGCAAATTCTTCCACTGTGAATCCAGACACAGACTGAAAGCAAAGGAGCTGACGTGTTCACAGATAACTGAGAGAAGCTCCCACGAGGGCCGATGACCACAGTTGGGGGGGTTATATGAGTGCTCCTAACTCTATTTCCTGCTCTGTAAAGGTCTGAGATTTGTTCAAACCAGCACGTAGGGAAATCCTGAGGAGCCACTGATCAACCTAATTTATATAAGGCGTCTCTCAGTGAAAAAAGGTTTGTTTCCTTTGCTGCTTATGGTGGGGCGGGGGAAATACAACAATATATTACTATTAAAACGTTTGTAAACCCAAGAGTATTTGCAAAGGAACTGAGAGAAGGGGAGGCAGGGGGGAGTAAGCCTTATCTAGCTATTTTTAAAAATGAATATATTCCAGCTAAGGGTAGATGCTGCTTTAACTTCTTGCATCTTACCAGTCACAGCTTTTTCCAGATTTTTTTTTTTTTTTTAAATTCAGAATACTCTTTTGAAAAACTTCCTCAATACTAAAGCTGTGTTTAAATAGCCAGCAAGTAAATACTGCCTAGTGGAAAAAGTAGCATCCACTCAATGACTGGCCAAATCCCTGCTCTGCCAGCAACCCACTGGGTGTAATTCTGAACACCTCACATCATGCATCAGCTCTCACAGCAGTAAAATGAGGATAAGGCTGATAAGCTCCTCCCGAGAGCTCCTTTAAGTCTTTCCAAATCTCTTCCCATAGATAGGGTAGGCATCTGGGCCTGAAGGGAACAAAAATGCTGTAACACATAAACATGAAAATAAATATAAATGTAAGTATGAAATTTATTTAAAATAAGAGACTAAGAATAGCTGAAGCATGCATACATCAAATTTTAACATACTAAGTTACATTAATATACCACCCTGGGCAAAACCATTGTTATAACTGCATGGCTTTCAGTTTGTCTTTTCAATACAATACTTCTCTCTTCCTCAATGTAAGTTGTGCTGCGCTCCTAACGACTTAAGCCTCAGCTTTCTGCAAAATACACAGCTGGAAAGCAAAATTACGTTATTTCAATCTAAAAATCAATGAAGAGATGGAAAATAGACTATACCTCATTCACTGGTTTAAAATTTACTGCACCAACCAGACAAAACAAACTTCCGAAAGACTTTTCTGATCCCCACAGAATCTACAGCTAACCTTAGAAAGGACATTTGCAATCAACAGGCTTGTCAGCTTTTAGTATCATCTTTATTTCTCTTAGAAACATGCTGGATATATTTCCTAGTACAGCACAAACAAGGCGCATTTAGCTGCTGTACTTCCACACGTTCTCCTGTTAACAGGCAAAGCCAGAACAAGGAAATCCCTTCTGTGGTTTTCAAAAACAGCTACCTCTTCGGTGCTCGCTTACACACGTACGCATACAAATGGACACATTAGTCTACCGACAAAATAATCGAGCAAACATTTGAAAGCCAAACTACCTGTTTTTCCATACACAGTTAATACGGACACACTTTCCTGGTGTGAAACTTCCTTAATCAAGTCTTTGTTTGAAAAAGTCTTACATTGACAGGAAAAAGACTCAAAATAATTAATGAAGAGTTCTAACTCCAACGAATCTGCGGGTAATTTTCCTTCATAAGGTTATAACGTCGATCACATAGGTTAATGAGTAACGAATGAACATGAGATAAATACGTTTACTCAAACAAGAAAAAATGTCAACAAATGGCACATTACCCTAGCACTAAGGAAATAAAATATATCCTCACATGCTTTAACAGAGACACAACAGTGCCCCCCACTGCCGCAGAACAGGTCACCTGCTGGAATATCCGGTATTTACATTTCAGAACTATTTTTCCACAGGACGGAAAAAAACTTTTTATTTTCCTTAGTATGAGTTTTCATTTC